ACAACACAACACAACACAACACAACACAACACAACACACCACCAACACAACACAACACACCACCAACAGCACCTACACAAAGGACAACATGTGGGTATTATAATGTAGTGTCCAAACACAACACACCACCTACACAACACAACACAACACAACACAACACAACACAACACAACACACCACCAACAGCACCTACACAAAGGACAACATGTGGGTATTATAATGTAGTGTCCAAACACAACACACCACCTACACAACACAACACAACACAACACAACACAACACAACACACCACCAACAGCACCTACACAAAGGACAACATGTGGGTATTATAATGTAGTGTCCAACTTTCCCGTTTTTTGGTGAGCGTTTTCAAGTTATTTTTGGATGCCACGCTATGTTTTGTTGTTACCCTTGTTCTTACTACTGTCATTGTTATTATCACTGTTATTACTATCATAATTGTTATCATTTTTACTATTATTGTCATTATTATTGTTATGATCATTATCACTGTCATTGTCATTATCACTGTCATTGTCATTATCACTGTCACTATCACTGTCATTATCACTGTCACTGTCATTGTCACTGTCATTATCACTGTCATTGTCAATGTCATTATCACTGTCACTGCCACTGCCATTATCACTGTCACTGTCATTATCAGTGTCATTATCACTGTCACTGTCATTATCACTGTCATTGTCACTGTCATTATCACTGTCATTGTCATTATCACTATCACGGTCATTATCACTGTCACTGTCACTGTCATTATCACTGTCATGATCACTGTCATTGTCATGATCACTGTCACTGTCATTATCACTGTCACTGTCATTATCACTATCACTGCCACTGTCATTATCACTGTCACTGTCACTATCACTGTCATTATCACTTCACTGTCATTATCACTGTCACTGTCATTATCACTGTCATTGTCACTGTCATTCATTGTCACTGTCATTATCACTGTCACTGTCATTATCACTGTCACTGTCATTATCACTGTCACTATCATTATCACTGTCACTATCACTGTCAGTCATTATCACTGTCACTGTCATTATCACTGTCATTATCACTGTCACTGTCACTGTCACTGTCATTGTCACTGTCACTGTCACTATCATATCACTGTCACTGTCATTATCACTGTCACTGTCATTATCACTGTCACTATCATTATCACTGTCACTATCACTGTCAGTCATTATCACTGTCACTGTCATTATCACTGTCATTATCACTGTCACTGTCACTGTCACTGTCATTGTCACTGTCACTGTCACTATCATATCACTGTCACTGTCATTATCACTGTCACTGTCATTATCACTGTCA